AATCAGACTATAATTTTAAAAATAATTTTATAATATATAAAATAAATATGTGAGGAATTTTATTTTGATTTTAATAATAATTTTTTAAGTGGCTTTTAATATCCATTCGGCTTTTGAGTTTCAAAAGCTTTAAATCCGTCTTTAGTTCTGCTTGGATTTTTGGGGGAAAAATCTTTTGGGTCCAAACATGATATTTGGTCTCCAGCTGGTGTTTGGGCTTTTGACGAACTTTTAGAATTAAAAAACCAATACAAATACGTCCTTAAACTATTTATAAGTTTTATAAGTTTTAAATTGGAAGAGGGATATAGTTCATTTTATAAGTTTCAATTGGGGTGTGTCTTAATATTTCATCCATATTTTTTTTAATTTTACTTTTAATTATTCATTCTCCTTCTTTTGCTACAATTTCTTATCACATTTTTTCATACATTCTTTTTTTTTTTTCCTCATTTATTACAAGGGCATATTTGGAAACAAAAATATATTTCTATCCTATTTGTTGCTTTTAATTAATTATTTATTATCTGCGAATTAGTTATTTGAAGCGTATAAGAGTAGTTATTTTTTCTTTGAGTATTATGTGACATAGTCTGCTTTTGAAATACTGGCTTCTTAGTGAACTATATATATAGTAATGAATATGATATATGTTAGATTTACAGCAATCGAAGTCTTATATTGGGTCTGATCATCTAATGTCAATTTGTGATCTTGTTCAGGTGGAGCAGCAGCAGCGATAGCCAGAGCCAATCAGTTCAGTCTTTAGCAAAACCAACCCACTTAAATAGCTCCAGTCAAACAACAATAGAAGCAGCCAGCATCACCTGAACAAACTGCCTCATCTCATCACACCAATATTGTCCAACAAAACACAAACCAAACCGATCAAAAACCAAACCCCGCAGCACAAGCAACAGAAGATCAAGAACCCACCACAAAGAAGCCTCCACCACCCTTGTCTCATGAAAAAGACATGGTGGTGGGAAGAATCATTAAACCTCCAAGACCTCAGCCTCAGCCTCAGCTCATCATCGCCCGACCTCACCGTCACTGCCTCCGCCACCGTCGCATTTGCTTACTAAGATGCCGTATGTTTCGACGACGGGGAACGGGCCCGAACGGGAAGGAAGCGAGTGAATGGATTCTTGTAGACAGATACAGTAACTTGGAGGTGAGCATTGTTTGTGTCTGCCATGGAAGCACTTTCTCCCCTGCTGGGTTTGTGGCAGCATGCTGGTGGCACAGACATTTCTCATCCAGAAAAGCACATTACGGTGATTCCTTCTGCATTTGGATGATGAGAACATTGGACACCAATTGATATAATCATCGTACAGGACATAAAAAATGAACATATCATGTTATTGTTTCTGGTACGAAGAAGGTCATAGACAGACACTGAATTCAATTAATGTTTAGGTCTTGGGTTTCTTGTTTAGAGATTATTTTTGGGGCTTTTTCTTTTGGTCTCTTCTTCTTCTTCTTTGTTCTTTTTCCCCCCCCCCAATTTTTTCGGTTTGACTGAGTAAATTGGTTTGGGTACAGGTGCTAGCGATTTCCAGAAAATGAACTGGGAAGGTTGATGGCTGGCTTCTTTTTTTTTTTTTCGGGGGGGCACTGGTTCATCTACTAACTGCACTAACATTTATTCTGATTATTGACTTGAAAATTTTCCTGGTTATTATATATGAGCCTAGTTTTTTGTGGTGCAATTAACTCTTTATCATTCTTCTCAATTACTCTTTAATTAGTAAGATGAAGTGTGCAGGTTTTTCCCCCTAATTTTGGCTCATATAACTATAGGTATATTCGTATTCGCATTTCTATTTCTAGTGTTTTTTTTCCTCTTAAATTTCTTGTGATTAAGAAAATTTTTAGGTATCTATATTATTTTCCAATTAAAAACAATATTTTTTGAGTGAACCAATCAAATTAAAAACAAGAGCCTAAAACAAAACTGATTGGCTTGATCCTTGCTGACTTTTCTAATCTGTCGAACAAAACATATACCATGTAATGCTGCAATTGACAACATTCTAGAAGACCCAATATTATAGTTAACATAATATTCTTTTGATCTTTGATATAAGATTTATTTAACTAATTTGATTAGATTACTAAGAAATTATTATAGATTAAGAAAGTTAAATAAATTAGTTAATTATAAAAATATAAGAAATATGACGTGTTTCTCTTAAAATACAATAATCGTCTTTCTTAATATCTCCTTCTTTCTTTCACTTGATTGTGATTGAAGGAGTATCTATAAGGTAATTTAGAAAAAATTGATAAATATAGAAAATAAATCTTATATTTAAGAGTAAAATTAACTCGTTCTTATATTAAAAACCGGAGGAGTATTAATCCCCCATCATTTTAAGAACGTTAATAATAAATATAGCACATTGAAAAGATAATTTTGGGTATAAATAAATAAATATCATGGTCTGGGAGTATAAACCAATATTAAGGCCTACTCTTAATAACAAATCAATTATTCTATCCCATGCGATTAATAACTAGTATTACTTTAATTTTTAATATAAAAGCTAGTTGTCTAATTTGAATATATTAAAAAATTGGTTAAATTATTTATTTATTTGTAAAAAACATATATTATTTTTTTAAAATATCCTTGCTAATAATGTATATTAACTAAAAATACTATTAATTAGATGAAACATTTAATATGTGTAATTACTAAAAAGATTGTCTGGGGAAAAAAGAGACAAAATGAACTAAAATCTTATACTTAGAACCAAATTAAATATCAAATTAGTTCTTACATTAACTATCATAATACTATACATATTTCATCCATTTGGCAGCACAAAAAAGGTAAAGATATCCCTTTTATTCACCATTCATCAACAATAATTCAATCCAACATCGCCAGGTACCAAAACGTTTCCATAACCGATACTCAAATTCTTCAAAAATAGTAAAATAATCATCCTCCTGTAGCAAATTCCTAAAAAAGAGGTTGAAAACCCCAAAAAAAAAAAATTGCAAGGCACTTCCGTGGAAGACAACTGCACAAATTTTCCCCCCTTGAATTTTGGTCAAATTAAATATATTTTTCTATTTTATTGATATGCTCAGACATGTTCTAAAAATAAATTAATATGAATTTTTTCCTAATTTTGTTTAAAATCACACCAAACTCTTATATATAAAATATTAGTGCGACTACAGTATATATTAGATGGCAAAAAAAAATACAGTATGCATCAATATATTGATTTTCTTGTGTATATTGACTTTATTACAAGAAATTAGTGTTGGTTGCCGATCATTTTTTGTTTTACTAATTTTTATATTAATGGAATATTATTATTATCCGTATAAATGCAATTGTAAGGCGCTTTCAAATTCCGCTTTGGGATTTCTTGTCGTTGTACAAATCGCAAAGCAGTGCTCTCTCACAGTTCCTTTTTACAAGATCCCCTCTATATAAGCTCCTTCCTCTTAAACCCTCTCTCTCCTTCTCGCGTTTTCCTTTCTTCGCGCTCTTTAGTACGATCCAGAAGCAAAACCCTAGCGAAGAAGGAGCTGAGAAGTCGTGAGAGCTACGCGTGTAAATTCCTCCTCATCTTCACATCCGCGATCCATTCTCGTTTGCCTGGTTAGTTTCTTAAACCCTCCTGATTGTAAATTCCTGAGCTTCTTCCTTATTAGTTTTTCTGGGACATTTTATTTGGAAGTGAGACTCTCTTTGCGATAAATGTTAACGCTTGTTTTTGTCCGAGGTGGGATTTTGATGGTGTAGCGGAAACTTCCGTGGAAATTTTTTTACTGTACTTCGTGTGGAATTTTATATTCTCTGGGAGGTGGTGAAGTCCTGGTACGAACCAGGAATTTGTGTTGAAAATGTCTTTTGTTCGCACCTGGTATTGAGTATGTCTGGGGGTACTTATCTTAATCAGGAGTTTGAGCCTTTGAAGCATGACGCGTCCTATCTGAAAGTCGTTGCAAATGAGGCAGAACTTGCCACATTCTTTAGGCTATGTCTGTTTGCTCAATGAACTTTTACCCACGAATACATTATAGTCTAAGATCATTTGTCTCTTGGTCGTACTATGTTTGGATGATTGTGAAAGCCTCGTTATATACTTTCAAGCTCTTTCTGGCAAAGAGTATACTGATTAATAGAAGCTCAACCATCAATTATCCCTTATGTTGGATTATTATTTTACTGAGCGTTTATTCTGAATTGACATTTAAATTAGTTTTGCACTAGTCTATGCTTTTTTTCCCCCTGTTCTCTTTTAGAGTCTTTTGATTAAAGGCATTTATATTGTTTTTATGTTTTCACAGTAGTTATTTTTTTTGTTTTCAGACATATTTGGTGATGGCATCTTCAGAGCAGCCAGCGCCCGCTCAGAATCATCCTGCAGCTCATATTGTATGTATATCCTGATGCTGCAGAGTGTAGCATATGTTTTATTTGTTAATTTTATGACTTGTTTTATCTGAAAATGCGATATAGGTTGGGAATGCCTTTGTGGAGCAGTACTACCATATGCTGCATGAAAGCCCTGAACTTGTGCACAAGTTTTACCAAGATGTTAGTAAGCTGGGTCGCCCTGAAAAGGATGGTATAATGGGCATTACCACCACAATGCAAGTGAGTTTTTTGTCCCTTTCTTTCTGCCATGCCTATATACCCATAGTATCATATCGAATTTATGATATCCATTCTGCTTTACGGTTGATTTTTTTTTTTTTTTTTTTGGGGGAGGGGATTATCTATTAGACTCTTTGGTCACCTGGATTTTATTTTAGCTCGCTTGCTTACTTCAAAGCAAAGTTGAAATTTGCCATTGTAATAAAAACAAGCCAATTTAAAAGGAAGGGGGAATTGATAATGTTGGATGAAAACGTCTAATGACCTGATCTATTAAATTGATGCTATGTTGAAAGAATTTATCATTTTTGTTACTACTGCTTGCTTGCTTTGATGAAGAAACTGGCAGAATAGAGCTGTGTGGGTCCTAATAGGTGTCCATTTAGGAAACAGATATGAAACTGCTCTAATGGCGCTGAATTGATCTAATATTTTTTAAAGCACCATCCATTATTTGATTGTACAGGCTACCATGTTGAGCCCGATCCTTCTCTTTTGAGTTAGTTTATTGAAAAGAATTATGATCACCCATCCTTGTCTAGCATTCATGATCTTACCTTTGGTCTTCCTTTGGAGCTGCACTGGTTTTTTCTGGTCAGGTTGTTTCTTGAGCAGGATGAAAGTTATAATGCGTCCTGCAATTGATCTGTCTTAAGATTGCCATTGGATTTGGATTAATGTCGACATGGATAGTCTTGTTCCTAGCTTCCTGTATACCATCAAGAATGGTAATGGAAAGTTTGGTTTTTTCTTCCTATTGAGGCTTGTGATCATTTCTGAACCAATGATGTATCTGCCTTGCTACTCATGACATGTGGTTTTCATCACATGTGAGTGAAAGTGGGAAGGCAATCTAACTTGTTCTTGCAAAATCACATTTCCAAAAAGTGTGACTCGGTATTTTGTGAAGCATTACAATATACACAATCTGGGTTTAACTGCGACATTCTTGGATTATTATCTGTTGGGATGGCTCTTTTACTCAGCTTGCATGTGAACATGATTAACTTCAGAGGGAGCTTCATCCGTTGAAAGTTTTTCCAATCTGTGTGGTTAGGGTTGGTGAGACCTTTTTCTACCAAAAGGCACCTGTAACTTGGGCTGCCCAACCATGAGAGGCTGTCCTTTTTGTAATAGTTGGACGGAGGGTTGCCATGGTTTGCCTCTTTATCTTAGGTTAGTACAGTGTCCAATGGAGAAAAATTCCATTCTGATATAATATGCAATTTATGATTTGCATTAATCAAAACTGGAAGACTTGGGGTGAATTTGCTGATCTGGTTGCTGGGGCAACATAGGTGTGGCTGACAAGGACATCTTGTTAGAGCCAATTCGCCAAACTAAGCAATATGTAACAAGGGTGTTGCATTTTGCAATACTCTTGACATCCAAGAAGCATTGGAATGTGTGTAGGCTGCCTATTGTGGTGTTCTTTCAATACTCAGGTTGCAGTACTCTGGTCAAGAGGGACTTCGCCTTTTGTCTAAGATGCACTGGTATTGCTTAGTGAGAAGAGGCTGGCTGAAAAGATCAAAGGTCTGAATCACAATCCTCCCTATTTAGTTATGATGAGATGCTTCCATCATATGAGGTAAATTCAGGCTCTGTCATTATTGTGACCCTAAAAGTGATTTTAAGATCTATCAGCCTAAGTTGCTAATTCTTAGTGACTTCTCTGATTTCTTCTTTTTGTCCTTTTGTTACAATTTATTCTATGAAGTTTATTATATTATTTTATAATTTTTTATTATGAATTATCAGTGGAGTCCAATTTATGAAATGATAGAAGGTTAAAACTCATGTCCTTCAACTTATTTCTTTTTATTCCTATGAAGCAGGATATTAATGAGAAAATACTATCGCTGGATGAGTTCATTGCAGAGATCATATCCGTGGACGCACAAGAATCTTATGGTGGGGGAGTTCTTGTCCTTGTCACTGGGTTTATGATTGGAAAGGACTGCAAGAGGCAAAAATTTTCACAATGTTTCTTCCTTGCACCTCAAGAGAAAGGGTACTTTGTCTTGAATGATGTATTCAGATATGTTAATGACAATGAAAACCAGCACTCCATTGATGACGTTGAAGCTCCTGCCACTCCTCCTGATAATGGTATTGTAGTGCCTTTTTTAAATTAAAATTTTATTGACTCGTAGTAGCCCCCTTGTGATTTCATTTTTTGTTTGGCGGCAGATCCTTCTTTGAAGAAGATTCATGTTTCTGAGCAAATAGTACTATCAGCTGAGGATGTCAGTGGAGAGGAGGTATACAATCCTGAAAATGGGCAAGCATCATTTGAAGAAGAAGAAGAAGCTCCTGTACCTGAGGTGGTTGATGAAATTCCTGATGATTCACTAGTGGTCGCTGGTTCTACTTCTATTATTGAAGAAGTGCCTAAGAAGTCATATGCCTCTATTGTCAGTAGCTATTCTGAATTACCTTATGATGTTTCCTGACTCATATTGAGTTATATTCGGGATGGTGCCTTGGAGTTTTTGTTTTATTGGGAATAAAATAGTTATAAATTGCTGGAATGATTTTCATTCCTTTGTTATGATGTATGGTAATTGTTGTTCCTTGTTTCCTTATCTAACAAGCGAATATCTTTCCTTTTAAAGGTCATGAAGGAGAGGGCTGCACCTGCACCATCTCCTGTGGCAACTACTCCTGTGAGATCTGCCCCTAAGAGCCTGGAGCAACATGTGGCTGCTGCACCTCCAGCACCTATTGTGTCTGAAATGAATGGTTCTAGCACAGCTGTTGTTGAACCGGGAAACAGTCAAGAAACTGAAGGTGTGGTGCCACTTTATCAGAATGTATTCGTTTTCTTCTGAATCAATCTGCCTTTGGTTTTTATTTGTCACTGAGGTGTATTTTCACGGTATTGTTCTTTTTGTAGCTGAGGGTTATTCTATTTTTGTAAAAAGTCTGCCATCACATGCTACGCCTTCTCTTCTGGAGAGCGAGTTCAAGAAGTTTGGTCCTATTAAGCGTGATGGTATCCAAGTTAGAACCCAAAGGGTATGTCAAACATCCACTTTTTGCTTTGTATGATCAATTTATAGTCTATATTTTCTATTTATGGATGAATTAAACAGGGATTTTGCTTTGGCTTTGTGGAGTTTGAAGTGGCTAGTGCTGTGCAAGGTGCACTTGAGGTATTCCTGAGACTCAGCTTTTACATCATTGGGTTGTCTTTTTGTGGAGTGAGCTTGTGGAGGTGGAATCACTATAGCTATTGCTATTCAGATTGTATTCTATTAGTTTCCTTATGCAAAGTTCTCTTCACTCTTTAGACTGTCTATCTCAACAGGATATCCTTCGGATTTCCTTTGCTCTGCTTTTCTTTTTTTGGTTGTGGATTTTTGTAGTTATCAGTTTCCAGTTTCTCTTAAATTTGCATCTATACCTTTTTTTTTTTCCCTCCCATTTACTTATCTAGTACTATTTTAAGAAGTAAGAATGATAAGTTCTGCGTGCAATTGCCTGATACTAGGCCTAGTAGCTTGTATACACTTGTTATTTCCTGTAAGTTTCAACATGTATCGTTATTCTTGATTGGAATGTCAGGCTTCACCAGTTGTTATCAGTGGGCGCAAAGTCTTTGTTGAGGAAAAGAGATCAACTAATCGAGGCAAGTAGTTAATTTATTTTATTTTTTCAAGTTGAACTTGGTATTATTGGAGGTTAGATTGCCAATGCGCAGTTTATAGACATGCTTGACATGTGAACAAGATTGCTGTTTGGCTTGGGGCGAGGATTAGACTATTTGCATTCTATTACATTTTGCTTCAGGATTTCACCCTATGTAATTTTTGGTCAGATCCAGGCCAAGGTTGTGAAATTGCAATTATAACCATAGCCAGTCTTTTTTTTTTTTTTTTCCTTGGGTATATAGTTCACATTTTCAATAGTTTTAATTCGAGGAAGAAGAGGGAGTGGCTGCAGGGATAGCTTGAAGTTTAGCTCTGAGACACTCAATAGAAGGAGGAGCAGCAGCTGGGAGTGAGAATATTTTGCCTGCTGGAAAGAGGAGGATGAATGCTGGGTGAAGTGCGTGAGGCTGTTGCTCCTATGGCTTGCTGGGGGTGTTGCTTGATTTCATTTAATGAGATGCACACGTGTTTTGAGCTGGGTCTTCTTAATTTAACAATCTTGGCTGCAATCAGTGCTGAAACAAGCAATAACAAGAAGCCTTATCTCCCTTTGTTAAGTGAAGTCAGCTCCTTAAATTGCATGATGCCATAGTGCTTTACTAACAGCCAACTCTTCAGATATTTTATCAACCCATAAATCTTGTTTGATAACACAGTAAAAAGATTTATTTGCTGTCTTTGAACTCGGTAATCTTGGCCCTTAACTCACTTCTTTCCTGAGTTTTCCCCATGTTCAACCGAGTGTGATTGCTTCTGAGATCTGTATGACTATGATCAGTTCTCTCTATGTAAATGTGGATTCTATGAGTTGTCTCGTGCATTTGAGAAATAAAGTCTGGACTACATATGTTAAGGGGTATCTTCCCTTTCATATCCTCACCTCCCAACTCACATTTGTCTTGAGGAAAGAATACCAAAGTATTTCTGAAATACTGAGTGCTTCAGGAGGATATCCTGTATCTAATTTGGCTAATAGAGAAATATGTTCCATATGTTTTTTGGCTCCCTTCTGAACAATGTTAGAATGCTGTGTCGTCAATAATAGTTTCCAAGTGATAAGATGGTACCTTCTGGCTTTTGGATTGACATATCTTTTCATGAGTTTGGTTGGATTTGATTTTGCATTTATTCAGCTTCTATTTCTATGACCGGTTTTTTGAGGTTGAGTTTTGCCTTTAGCTTTTATAGTTGGTGGTGCATAAAGTGTCAACTATAAAGTTATCTTGTTGGATTCGACTATGAAGCGTCTACTTCTATTCTTGATGGATCTTTTCATCATTGTTTGTTTGGATTTGATTTTTGCATTTATATTCAGCTTCTACTTATATGATTGATTGTTGAGCTCTTGTTTTGCCTTTAGCTTGTATTCTTTATGATGGACTGTAAAGTGTCGACTATAAATTCAACTGTTTGTTGCTGATGTCCAGGGAATAACAAGCCACGATTCTCATCCGGAAGGGGTGCAGGATACAGAAATGAGGGCGGAAGAGGACGGGGAAACCATGGAAATGGCCGAAATTATGGAAGAGGTGACTTCAATCGGACTGAATCTGGGTACAGGAATGGCAATCGGGGGTATTCCAGCCGTGGAAATAATGGTTTTCAGAGAGTCGATCACGTTGGAAACAATGGTGGCCGTGTGAATCGCACTGGTGGGCTGGCCATTAATTCAATGGCAAAAGTTACATCTGTTCCCGCCTCAGCTTGAGCAGTTTATCTCTGATGAAGGCAAGGATTGAAAAGATTATTTCCATTTTTAAGTACAGTAGTTCCAGTAGAAAGCATTGGGGTAAAAATTGAATTCTTTTTGTGGATGAGTTACCAGTCAGTCAGCTAGGTCCCTTTTTTTTTTCGTCCCCTTTCTTGAGAATGGATGATTTTGGGGATCTTTAATTTTCCAATTTCGGCTTAGTATAGCATACAACTTGCGTAGGAAGTTTTGTGCTTCCCTAGTTTTATGAATATTTTGGGGGCATTGTTGCATTTTTAAAGGAATATCAAATGAATCTTTGGAGATGATTTATGTAAAACGTAGTTGATTTTTGAGCTGCCTTTCAGATCCTTTTATACCCATTGTTTGGTCTGATCCAACACACGCTCTTTATTGTGCTGCTTGCTTGCTGCTGGTGTTAACAGAAGAGGGATGTTTCTGGTATTTTATTTGTTGACTGTGGGCTCAGGATCAATGCCCTTTTTTTTTTTAATTGATGTGTATTCTTTGTAGGGAAAAAAAAAATGTTTTAAATTATCAATAATGCTAATAGGAAGGAGAAATAAACATAGAGGTCCAATCCAAAGGCTGCCATGAGAATTCTTGAAGTTGGACTTCTAATACGGATGAAGTATATGAGTTATGAGTTTCATAAGAACAAACTTCTTAGCCAGTATTTATGGATCTAATGGTTCTGTACGATACCCCATAAGCGAATCTGCATCGGACCAAACGTGATTTCTTCGGAAAATTCATTCAAATATTGAGAGTTAATGGGAGTTTAGGTGAAAAGGACAAATGATGATTAGTGGGCAATACCAAATTCTTGACTTTAACTTCGGCCCAAGCCACATTTTGTGGTGGGGAGGCTAAAATTGAAGAGAGGGAGAATATAAACTGAATGCTCATCAATCCAAATTTTGATTTCATTACTTCACAATCATGTTAATAATGTGATAATTATAAATCAATAAGCTGGTAGTTGAGATAGCAAGTGTTCTCACTTTGTAAGGAGAAAAATGCAAGTGATTTAAAGAATGGTTGCGTTACACCAAAAAAAAAAAAAGTGATAAGGAAGATAACAAAACTAACGTTTGTTTTATTGTTGGCCGCACCGCCATGGGTGGCTTTGAAAGGGTTGCCCAAAAATCATTATAGTTTATGAAATGTGGTTTTCACTAATCTTGAATTAATCATTTTGAGTGAACCCCGTTGATTTATATAATATACATCTAATACATGGCTGTAATTCTCACTTAATTTTACGCTGAATTAAAATTACAAAAATTGAAAGGAACAGTACATCTAGTGTTTAGGTCAAAATAACATTCATATTTTTATTTTTAAATTAATTTACGTTTTTATGTATTAATAAACATATAGAAAGTTCCCATTTATCAATTTAATTAAAATTTACCAGAAGTATTTACTGTTTATTTGAGGAGAATATCGTATATGTTTTGAAACTAAAAAAAAAAAAAAGGTCTGTGTAATCATGATATCATATAAAAGTGAAATAACTTTCAATATTATTTATTATGTTCTAAATTCTCATTTATGATGTAAACCATATTGGTATAGTTAAGGGTATTCAATTAAATCCTTATCTCGACATCCCGTTTCAGTTTAAATTATTTAGGGACTTGATAAGCTTGTTCTAAAAATTTTTGGGACGGAACAGGAAGCAAGATGAGAGTATCTTGTTCCTTCTTTGATTATATTGTTTTATAAGTTTTCCGTATGTGTTATGTGATGTTCTTTTTAATGAACATTTTGATTTTATTTATTTTTTGTCTTCAAGATTACATAAAACTTTTTCTTTTGCCAATTTTCAGTTACTGCCAGTTTTTTAATCAATTTTTATCTTTTTTTTTTAATTTTTTTTTTTTATGATGAGTGCAATTAGTTTTCAAATAAAAAGTAAAAATCCCTCCCCATTCCCAATCGGAACCAGATGTTATCATAGCATTTGGACAGAGCCCATGCCATTCTATGAAAAGCCATTAGTGCAAGTTTGTCTTTTGTTCTGCTATTGGCAAAAGCATACACAAATAAAACTACTCTAATTTTTACTAAAGTTCAAGAAATGTGTAAATATGTTGGATTAAAAAAAAGAAATGTGTAAATTTTTTTAATGAAATGGACAAATATTTCTCAAACAACGTACAAATGGCAGCACAATAAAGGACACATTAAAGAAATGTGTGTATAATTATAAAAAAGGTATTTGCATAATTTTATTTCATAAACAATTACGTATGACAAAACGACTTATCTAAAAAGAATAAATTCAAGTAATAATACTATTCTTAATATAAGACATTATTTGACTTTTATTTTGATCCTAAATATAAGACTCCAATCTACTTTGTCTTTCATATTTATCTTTTTTTTTTTCAATGCAGTCCTTTCAATAATATAGTTTTAGCCAATACATTTGATTAGCAAGGATATTTTAAAAAAGAAAAACTATTTATTACAAATAACTAACTTAATTTATTTTCTTATTCTACTCAAATTAATTAATCAGGTCTTAAACTAGTAGTTCATAAGATCTTTTTTTTTTTTAACTATGATATGAAAACACAAATATTTTATCGATTCGATATCTCAGTGTTTGTCTACCTAATACATACCAAAGCCAATTCTCGTACTGGAGGACTACCTCACTCGTTTGACGTTTTTTTTTTTTTTTTTAAAATGTTGATCACTAGGTCAACGTAGTCAAAGGAACTTGGCTGGTATTGTAACTCAGACCAAACACTTCCATTATAAAACAACATTAACATAATTTTCTAGATTTGATTTTACATAATTTTCTAGATTGATTTTCTATACATGCAAATTTTAATAGGAATAGTTTCTTTGATGATGCCACTTGTCATTTTTGCATTTGGTTACATGACTATGTGATGTTACCATTCGAATTTTTTATTGTGTTTTCTTCCTTGTTGAGATATTTTGTCCCGTGAAATCATATGCTTTGGAGGATTTATGCTATTTTATTATTGTCTTTGGAGCTTATTATAACACGTTATTACATAATTCACATGTATCAATAAAACTGGTTAATTACATTAAATTTGTTATAAAATTTAAGTAATTTTTAATATTATTTTTAGTAAGTATGCTAAATTCTAATATTATATTAATTTTTATTTTTTCATCGATCTCATTAAATATAGACATATATGAAAAAAAAGTATTTAATATTTATTGAAACTATCAAAGAGTCTTATAAAAAGGATTAAAAAAATTTTCTAATAGAGGTTCTACAATAAGGACCAAAAAAAGTATATAATAGCGCTAATGTATAAATCTGTTATGAAAGTTTTTACTCAAAAACGTTGAGTACCCGATTTTTTCTTTTGGTTTCAATATAGCCTCAAAAGTTTAAGATTATAACAGTTTTGCCCCTAATTGTTGAAATAATATTCATCGTTAATATTTTTTAATTATATGAGACAAAATTATTACAATTTTAAAATTCAGCAGTAATATTGGGCAAAAAAAATATTAAAAAGAAACGTGGATCGCCTTTTATCAATAGTAAAATAGATTCATGTAGAATTGGGTGAAAAAGTAAAATGGGTTTGATCAAAGTGATTGGAATAGTTTTCTGACCTAACTGGGGTGGACTTGAAAAGGTGACATGGATCGGATCAAGATGATTGAAAGACATAATTAATTCAGTTAAAAAAGAAATTATCTTGTCAACTTGAATAAACTTTGCATTGATTTTGATTGGATGAGGCGTCCAAGTCAATCCAAACCAAACCTCCACAAGCCACCCGCTACTTAAAGAAACAAACAAAGAATCATCTAACCACGCTTCAATGGAATATTATCCTTATGTTTTTAATTGAAGTTTAAACGGCAAATATCTGAGATCTGGGGCCACCTAAAGCAGGTATCAGAGACAATACGAGACACTATAAACCAAGATTTCCCAAGAAACCGTGAAACAAAACTAGAGAGAATTACAATTAGCCAATTATGTTTTGGATGAGGAAATTAATCATATTCTCTATCTAGAAGTCAAACTTCAACATTTACATATTAAACTTCAGCTCTGACTAGTAATTGGGATCTGCGGATGATTATTATGTTTTAATTAGGGACCAGTGTGTAATTCTCCCATGAAACTATACAACGTCTCACTTTCACTAAACAACACAAATTAAATACACCTATATAAACATAGGGGTGCCTGCTCGATTTTAAGATACAAGCATTGGAAAAACGAATTACAGGGCATTACCTCCATTGTTTCCCTTATACAACCATGTAATGGCTTCCCCCGATTCAAAATGAGAATGGTTTTATAAGAGACCCTACAAAAAAGCTCAAGACAGTGCAAATTAAGCATTTCACGTAAACTCATGATTAGAGGATTTTCCTATATCTTCAAATTTTCCTATATCTTCACGGCAGTTATTCCACTACAGGAATATACGAAGAATTAAAAGATTTTCAGGTAAACCAGAAGTGCATCCAGCAGAGAAAACAATAGAGAATACCCCAAGTAAATAGGCATGATCTTATAGATATCTCAGAGTTCTCACTACGAGATAAATGAATCGCTTAAGGTACAATACTTGATTTAGTAACCTTCTTGTTTCTTCTAGATCAACATATTTTTAAATAACATTATTACATAAACTTAAGAATAAATAAAAGGGAAACTAAGAATTACTATACTAAAGTATTGTACACTTGGAAAGAAGCAATACTTTTCCTTCAACAGCTAAAAATTATGTCAAACTTATGAGTATTGGATATCAAAACTAAACAGCAAATAACCGAAGTGGACAAGAGATACAGTGGCGGCAACCGGAGAGCAGAAGCTTTAGAAATTTAGATACCAAAATTGCAAGCTTGGACAAATTCTAGATTGTAGTCAACATACTTTGTCCACAATGGCTTGAATTGAGTCATTGCAATGTCAAGCCATGGCTTCATATTACCATTGAAGTGCACCACTGCTGCATTACTAATCTCATCCATGCTGATGCTCGGGTTATAGCCAAGTCCCAGAACATGCCATGACTTATCTAAGGGCTTCGTTGTCGAGTAATATGTAATTAGCCCTGGTGGCAATGTCCCCAGTTTCCACAAGGTTCGATTTTCATTCTGCAACAAAATAACATATCCCGTGAGATATGGTAAGTAAAGAAGGATGCAAAACAGTAGTATAATTTCAAAGTATTTCAAATTAAAGAAGGTAACGAGAATGATCAGTAACAATATCCCTATAATCTCTTCCAATTTTAGAATATTCAGCATCTAATATTGCTACTAGTGGTGCATTTAACAACTTATAAATATGGTATTGAGTAAGCCAATGCTGCAAGCG